TCCTGCATCATTCAGTATTTTGCCCATAGAATCCCTCAATAATGCAACTCAAGCCTTGAATTATTTCTTCAGTTATTTCAGCTTGAGTAATGCTGTGCATTTTTCCCTTTTGGTTTTCTAATTCTGAGTTTTGCATATTTCATCAAAATACTTCTTTTTGTCTTCTTGAGCCACGCTTTGAAATATTCTGTTCAGCTCTTTCAATTCATCATTTCTTTTACTGGCTTTAGCTACTCTCCTTTTGAATGTAAGTTTCATAGTCTCTTCTGAAATCCATTTTGGTCTCTTCTTCCTTTCTTGTCTTTTCAATGACTGTTTGCTTTCTTCATGTATGATGTTACTGATGTCATCCCACAACTTGTCTGGTCTTTGGTCATTGGTGGTCAATTCATCAGATTTATTCCTCAGATGCTCTCTAAATTCAAGTGTGATGTAATCAAAGCCATATCTGGGCTCTCATCAATTTGTTTTAATTTTCATCAGCTTCATCCTGAACTTTCATATGAGCAATTGATGTTCTGTTCCACATCAGCTCCTGGCTTTGTTCTTAGTCATAATATTGGATTTCTCCATTACCTCTTTTCATGTATGTAGTTGATTTGATTCCTGTATATTCTTTTTGGTGAGGTCCACATGTATAGTCACTATTTATGTTATTGAATAAAAGTATTTACAATGAATAAGTCATTGGTCTTGAAAAATTCTATCATGCTATCTCCACCATCATTTGTACTACCAAAACCATATTAACCAGGTACCAATGTCAATTCTTTGTTTCCAACTTCTGCATTCCAATAATCAATAATTATCAATACATCTTAATTGTATGTTAAGTCCATTTCAGACTGCAGAATTTGGTAAAAATCTTTAATTTCTTCATCTTTGGCTTTAGTTGTTGAGGAGTAAATTTGAATAATTGTAGTATTGACTGTCCTTCCTTGTAAGTATATGGATTATCTTATCACTAACAGCATTTTGTTTCAGGATAGATCATGAAATGCTATTTTTGATGATGAATGTGATGCCATTCCTCTTCAATTTATCATTCCCAACATAGTTGCCAATGTGATTTTCTGATTCAAAAAGTCCAGTATCAGTCCATTTCAGCTCACTGATGCCTAGAATATCAATCTTTATGCATTCTAATTCATTTTTTACAACTTCTAATTTTCCTAGAACCATATTTTGTACATTCCAAGTTCTGATAATTAATTAATGTTTGTAGCTGTTTATTCTCATTTTGAGTCATGTCACATCAACAAATGTAGATCCTGAAAGCTTTACTCCATCATTATGGTTGACTTTACATTGTGGAGTCAGCTCTTTCCAGTCATATTTTGGGTACCTTCCAACCTGAGGAGCTCATGTTCCAATACTATATCAGTGTTTCACTGCTATTCATAACGTTTTCAGTGGCCAATTATTTCAGAAGTGGATGAACAAGCAAGCCACCACAATACAAAATTACATATAAGTGTTGAAGAGAACACTAAGCAGACAAAAAAAGGAGCCACTAATGCTCAAACACTAATGCTCCATTCTCAATGCATTAGTAGCCAACTAGATGCCTTTTAGTAGGAAGTACCATTTTTCAAAAAAATATATTTTGTGTTAAATTATACTAAAGCTCACTCATATGGATTGCCCTTTTCATAGAGCTATCCTACTCCATGCAGTAGCATTATACATACTCACCCTATTTAACTCAAGGTGGAGTAGTGATTAAAGCATTTGGCTAGTAACAGAAAAATTAATGATTTGAACCCACCAGCTTCTCTGAGGAAGAAATTTGAGGCATTCTGCTTCAATAAAGATTTATAGCCTTGAAAACCCAATGGAGGTCACTATGAGTTGGAATCAACTTGATGATAGTGTGTTTCACTTATTTTTTGATGGTTATATCACTTGTTTTGTGCCAGGAATTTTGAGGGAGAGTGACATCCATTATTTCCATTAGATGTTTTAAGAGTGAACACATGGTGTGCCATGCTCACCTTTCTCTCTGCCATGGTGGCCATTAATGTTTTAGACAAAGTCCGTTCCATCATCTTTCTTTCCAGGGCAAAATAATATAGTCCAGGCCTAGTGGAAGCACAATGATCTAAATTAAAAGAAATTCAAAAAAATTCTCAGCAAGCTTTTACTAGGAATGTACAACCTGATTTTAAAATGTGTATGGAAATGCAATGACCTAGATGGGTCAAACCTGTCCTCAAAAAGCTCAAAATTGTAAGGTTCAAACTATTTGATTTCAAAATGTACTATAAAATAGAGTAGTAAACACAGTGTCTGACTGAAATGAGGATAGAGAAAATACATCAACTAAAAGTAGACTCATACAAACACTATCAGTTCATTTCAAAGAAATGCTGAGGTATTCTAAAGAATAACTGGTTTTTGTCCAACAAATGTAGATGAAATAACAAAATATCAATACAAAAAATTAGAACCATTGTCCTTACCTCATATCATTACAGGCATTAACTTGAATTGAACATAGACCTAAAAGCTAAATTAATTCTGTAAACCTTTTAGAAGAAATCATAAGAGAGAACTTGCATAAACATGGGATAATCAAAAATTTCTTAAACATAGTCCAAACACATAAGCTTTAAAAATGATAAATCAAACTTTACCAATATTAACAACACCTTCTTTTCCAAGAAACACTTAAGAAGCAGAAAGGCCAAAGAAGATGCTTGACTCAACTGTGGTGAAGCAGTGGATGAGGAACATTTGGGTGAAGCACGTATCCAAATCAACATCATGAGCACCAACCTAGAAGATTTGCAGCAACTTGGGCATAATAGAAGTGGACATAACCAAGTCAATGACAGCCAATATGTCCAGGAAGGACATGGGCTGTCACAGGCTGTGCTACACCCTTACCACTGTCTGGATGGTCACATTCTCCAGTACAGCCAGGAGGTAAATGGAATCTAAGAGCATGGAGAGCTAGATGTTTAAGGACTCCAACCCTGGGATGTTAGTGAGCTGGAAGGAGCTAGATAGTGAACAGACATTATGAAAAGTAAGCATGAAAATTTACAAGTGAACGTCCTCACTTATACCCAAAGTGCAGCAGAATATTTAAATTTTTTTCTGGAAATAAAAAGGAAGAATTTTTTTTTTTTAACTTTTAGGTACTGTAATAAAGAATACTCTTATTTAACAGGTAAGGTACTATGCAATGAGCCTCTTCTTTCTTGTTAAAAATTGAAAAAATAATAGCATAGTGTATCATGTTATTACTACATTAAAATGCCCACAAAAATTTGCCAAGCACAATCCAAAATAAATATTTGAGTGAATAAAAGAAAGAAAAGGAAACAGCAAGATACAGACTGGAAGAATATACTTGCTATGTATATACCTAGCAAGAGAGATGAATTGAATATATATAAAGAATTCTTACAACTTAGTAATAAAGTGACAAGCAAACTAATTTAAAGATGGGCAAAATGATTTGGACAATTCACACAAAAATAATTAATAAACAATAAAGCATATGTCTAATGAGCATGTAAAGAAAGGTCTAAATCACTATCAATCAGATAAGTGGAAATTAAAACTTAATGATAGTTCACAAATATACACCTACTTTTGTTGTTCTTAGTTGCCTTTGAGTGGATTCTGACTCATATGCAGATTAGAACTGCTTCATACGATTTTCAAGGCTATGACCTTTTGGAAGCTGATCCTGTGTTCCAAGGCATCTTGGGTAAGTTTGAACTATAAACCTTGTGGCTAGTAGTTCAGCATTTAACCATGTGTACAACCCAGAGACTCCACAAAGCCTTTCAAATGGTTTTCATTAAAACATTGGAATAACTAAATTGATGTTGGCGATGAAGATGTGGAACTTCAACTCTCACACATTGCTGGTAGGCTAGTAAAGTGGCATGGCCACTTGGAAACATGTTTTGTCACTTATATATAAAGGTAGGCATGTATTTGTACAACCCAGGACAATGAATAAAGAAGACTAAAAAATTGATGCAATTTGAATTATGATGAATAATGAATAAACATGGACTGCCAGAAAAACAAACAATCTATCTTGGAGAAGTAGTCAGAGTGCTCCTTATAAGCAAGTAGTATTTCAGACATGTTGACATGTTATCAAGGGGTATCCCTGGAGAAGGATATCATGCCTGGTAAAGTAGAGGGTCTGTGAAAAAGAAGACCCTCAACTAGATAAATTGACAAAGTGGCTGAAAGAATGGGATCAAACATAGCAAAGATTGTAGAAATGGCATGGGACAGACCAGGCAGCATTTTGTTCTGTTGTGTATAGGGTCGCTATCAGTTGGAACTGACTTAATAGCACCTAACAGTAACAGCAACAATAAGATAACTCAGAATATCAAAGAATATTCATAGTAATTTTATTCATAACATCAAAAACTGTAAACATTTCGTATGTCCATTAACAAGTGAGTAAATAAGCAAATTAAGGTATAACCTTACAACAGTATACTATTCGACAATATAAAGGTGTAAGCAACTGATACAAGATTAAATATGGATGAATTTCAAAATCAATATGCTGAATGAAAGAAGCTTTGCCCAAAAATTAAACACAAAATGAGAAAAATCTCCTTGAGTGGACTACATTTCAAAGAAAAAAAAAAAAATGATAAGTGGGAATGGAGACATTGCATTTGAAATTGGGAGAGCAGAAATGGAAATAGAAGATTCTAGAATATATATCTGTAGATGCCTCTTGAATAGGAAGGTTTCTATCATCTTCCTGACCTTAAATCTTACCAAAAAAATGTGTGTAGAATATTCTGTGTTGTCTTGTCAATTTACAGTTTGACCTACACCACAGATACGTCATGTGTGAGTTGACTAAGTCAGTACTATAAACTTATGTCATTGCTAACCTCTCACCAAGAATGGATTTTTCAGAAACTGCTGATAGAGAATGACTCTCCCTGATCTTCATTCTGTATCACCTTTGTCACATGGAAGATGATGAGGCAACATGAGGGTTTCTAGTAAGGCAGCACAAGTTCATAATCATGATCTCGGGAGCAGGAAGAAGGTGTGTCAACACAAGTTGTTCTGAGAAGGGCATATTCTGTTTCTGACCTATCTCCAAATTGTCTCACTCTCTTCGGATTGGGGTCAACGTTTTCATAACCATCGTCATTGGAGCTTAAGGATGATCTTCTATAGGGGCGGTGATTAATGATGGTGTAGCAAACTTCTTCAGAACCATTGCCATTCTCATTTCTCTACCAACCACAAAGAGAAAACCAAAAATAAAGGTTAGGAATAATCCATCAAAGTTGAACTCAGTGCCCCATCCCTCCTTCTTTCTATGTCAACAGATGGAGCTCTTACACAGCCCCTGGTATCTTAGAGATATAATTTTAGCACCATGTCCCATGCTCCAACTACTACTCATTCTGCCTTTATTTCACCCCAAAAGACTTAAAAAGAAAGAATAAAGTCTATTTCTCTGAACAACTGGAGAAAAATAGTCATATGCTTTAAGTCATACATATATGCGATGATCAGAACTCAATTATTAATTAAGTTATATAAAAATATATATCATAACAAAATACTATTAATAAAATTTAAAGTTTAACCACATTTTCAACTCCTTGGTATTCAAAAAGAAAAATTAAGACATCAAGCTAATATATACTAATTGAATAATTTAAATTATTTTGATGTAGTATTGAAAAGAATATTTTTTACATTTATTTCAACCATGTTTATTTATATGAATATAATTACTAATCTATGACACAAAAATTAGAAGAGTATTCTAAAAAGTAAAAAGTGTCCATATTTTATGGTTAGGGATTCTGAGTGTAAATATATTTTATTTAATTGTTTTTTGTTATAACTTTGAAAATTAAAGTAAGTAACTTCAGTGATATTGGGAATTTGCTAGATATTGTTGTTATGTGCCATTGAGTCAGACCCGACTCATAGTGACCCTGAGGCAGGATCACTACAGAAGTAGATTGCCCAACCTTCCTTCCAAGGAGTGGCTGATGGGTTTTGAACCACCAGTCTTCTGGTTAGCAGTCAAGTGCCTTTGGCACTACAGCACCAGTGCTCCTGTTGCTAGATACTGGAATCAGTTAAAATACCTTTAAATTTGTGATTGTCTTCCAGTTTTTTCATAAAAATTACCAAACAAATTATTTTAAACATGAAATACTTGTACAAATCTATTCAGAAATTGTAAGCAAAGGAAGACCTACAGATATTCTTGAAGAACATTGCCTATATTTTGGAATTCATCAGAAAAATCTAATGACATTTCTATTACCTGATTAGATGTGGATGAAATTTCTTGACCTAGAGGGAAAAAAACAAACAGCAACCTAAGACTTTTGGATCATGACAGGTGGGGGAAAGATGTAAAGGATTGCATACAGAGATAAAATTATAAACAGAACAATCATCTGGACTTCTTACTCCCTGCCAATATCCCAGACATATTAGAACCATTATGTGAATGAACACATGCCATGTCTACTGAACAAAGTAGATTGTGGAACTATGTAACACAATTCTGTCCACAAACATAAGATGACAATAAATTATTATATTATAATTATAGCTGGAAATTTAAGAAATTTTCTATAAAAAACAATCACAGGAAAATCATATAATATTTCCAAGATGAATAACCACTATAAAGATGGGTACACGCAAAAAAAAGAGTTACTACTAATTATTTTAAATTAAGGAGAAATATACACACATTTGGGAGCTCTGGTAGCATAGTGGCTAAGGCACTTGACTGCTAACCAGAAGGCTGGCGGTTCAAACCCACCAGCCACTCCTCGGAAGGAAGGTTGGGCAATCCTACTTCCGTAGTGATACTGCCTCAGAAACCCAACGAGGGGTCGCTATGAGTCGGGGCCGACTCGATGGCAAATAACAACAACAACAACAACATACACACATTTAACTAACAACTCAGGTTGATTAAATCCATGAGTACTAAAGTAACTTTGTTGTTATTGTTGTTATTTTCTGAGCTGGCTAGAGAATTTCAAACCATCTTACCCGGTTCACAGCACCAATTGCACAAACAAGTCCAGGGACTACAAGAGCACTCATTTCTGATGCCAAATTGTATGGTGGATAACATAACACATTCCACATGCATTGTTTGGAAAATTGGCTTCTCTTTGTTGGGCAGGTGTGATAGTTGGAGCTATGTGTCAACTTGGCTGGACCACAATTCTGTGTGGTTTAAGCTATTGTGATGTGGTTATTCCCATGATGGGATCAGATAATTATGTTTTGAGCAGCCAATCTGTTGAAAGGGAGTTTCCCTAGGGCTGTGGCCTGCTTCCACTATATCTATGGACATTCTGGGAAAAGAGACATTCTTCAGTGGATTGGGATTCTGTTGTGCTTCCTACAACTGTCCGTGAGTGAACAATCCACCATTCGGGCCTGAAGATCTTGGATTCATCATTCGTTGGAGTCAACATCCAGTGTACTGCCTGCCAGCCTTGAGCTCCTCAGCCCCTGCGGCTGCAAGAGTCGGGAAAAGCCTCCAGCATGACATGGAAAAGCCTTCAGCTTGACGTTTGATCCAGGAACTTTGGACTTGCCAGCTTCTATAAGTGTGTGAGCCATTTTCCTAAGATAAATTTTTCTATATTTAAAAATATAAGCTTTACTGGTTTTGTTTCTCTAGAGAACCCAGTCTAACATAGCAGGTCAGACCCCAGCCACCCATACCACTTCCAATCTTGTTCCTCGACACTCAAGCTAAGACATCTCATCCCTAGCCATCCAAAGGGTACAGCTGTGAACACACTGTTCCACATGGCTCCCTGAGTACCAGACTGGCCAGTCTCAAACTTTAGGGCTTTCCTTTACCCTCAAAGTCTTAGTCTTAAACTTGAGAGTTAACCTGGTCTCCCCTCACTTTAGACCAACTAACTCCAATACTTCCTTTAGGTCCAATAATTCACTGGAATGGCACACAGAATGTATGGAAACACCATTTTTGCAATAAATTTAATAACAGAGCAGCATAGAAAGATTATATATATACAGAAATGTATAGAATGAGGTAGAAGAGAACTCCTTACATGGAGCCTCAACCTCTCAAATGGAACTGCTTATCATTGTGAGGATAGATATTCATTCTCAAAACTAGAGAATCTTTTAACCAGTAAATGCTCTGTGAGGTCATTGCATAGGCTCTGCTGTCAGCTGCTCCTCTCAGCTGGTTCCTGGTTCTCAAGGATGGCTTGCTTGCTCAAGGATAGCTCTCAGACAACTCCAGCCACTTTAGGCTGGCTCTAGCTCTAGGCCAGCATCGCAACAACTCTTGGTGCAGAGCTATCCTCAGGGCATCCTGTGCTCTCAGTGAATCCCATGCTCAAGGCAGCTCCTGCTCCAGAGTGCCTCAGATCTGAATTTTACAGCTCTTGTTGGATTCAACATTTACAAACTGCTGACATCATCCTGTCCACTCATTGTCTTCACCTCTTCACAGCCACCCCCTACATCATTGTTGCATCTGTAAGCAAATTTTTGTCAAACCAAAAAAAAAAAATCTAAACCTACTGCTATGGAGTCAATTCGGAATCATAGCAACCCCCATCAGATTTCCAAGGCTATAAATCTTCACAGAAGTAAATTACCTCATCTTCCTTTTGTGGAGTTGTGAGAGGGTTTGAACTGCCAATCTTCTTTCCGGTTAGCAGTCAAATGCTTTATTTAGGCCCTGCACCACCAGAGCTCTTTGTAAGCATGTTACAACTCTTTTATTCAGTTTGGGAGAGTCTCCAGCCAATCCAGATATACGTCAAACTGGGACATTCCCTAGCCAATCTGGGAAAAAACAAAATAACTCTCTGGGTCTCAGGAGCTGGGACAAAAAGGTCAAATTGCTTTTTGGTAAGGTAATTCCACGTTGAACGGTTGCCATTGAGCTGAGTCCAATTCATGATGAATTTATGTATCTTCAATACTTGTTAATTCAGCTCAATGGCAACTGTTCAATGTGGAATTACCTTACAAAAAGCTACTTGTTAAGAGCTCTGGTAGCATAGTGGCTAAGGCATTTGACTGCTCACCAGAAGTCTGGCAGTTTAAACCCACCAGCCACTCCTCAGAAGGAAGGTTGGGCAATCTACTTCCGTAGTGATACTGCCTCGGAAACCCAAGGAGGGGTCGCTATGAGTCGGG